TCGGTTGCTCCCTGGAGGAGTGGCTGAGAGGGAGGAGGTATTGGAGGAGGTTTAGTTGTTCCTCCCCATTCCAGTGGCACTGGAGGAGCTGAGAGCAGCAGGAAAGGCTCTGGGATGGTTTGCTGGGTGAACCCATCAGGTGGATGCACCTTCCTGTTTGTGCTGCTGGGGAATAGAAGCATTGAAATGCTGATATTCTACTCGACTGTGTTTCATGCTCTGCAGTTAGAACAATCTCTCCCAGTCCGTGGCACGGGGGGAGGGATGGCTGTGGAGTCGCTGTCTTGCTCTTACTGAAATCGTGTTTGCCTTGGCAGAAATACTTATTATCTGTTGTTTTGAACTGTGTGTCAGGCACAAGCTGGGAGGAGGCAGTGGGGAAAGCATCCTGGTGTCCCAGCTGCAGCATGGGCTGACCCTGGAGTTCGAGCACAGCGACTCGCCCCGGCGGCTGCGCCTGGTGCTCAGCGAGCTACTGGCCATCATGAATAAGGTAAACCTCTCCACATCTGGGTGGTTGTCCATTTTGGGTGAGTGGAAATCACCCTGGGTAGGTTGGGACACCGTCAGGTTCTGTTTCTGGTGGTGCTGGGTGTGAGCACTGCTCTCCAGTCCTTACCTGCTTCATCAGGGCTTAAAGTCTCAGCCTGACTTCATCAAGGCTCACAGTGGCCTGTGATTCAACTCCTTGTGAACTCAGTTTCCTAGAGGAGTTCTTTTTTCACCAGAACAATCCAGGGTAGTCTTTGCTAATGTGATACAGACCCTGTAATAGGCTCTACTCGAGGGTAATGTGATTTGGTGATGTATCAGTGCAGAAATCCTATTTGAAAATGAAATTATGACTGTTAGCCATCCAGTTCTTTGCTCCTATTGCAATGTGGTTTCAGACACTGCATTTCTCTTGTCCTTCTTCTCACCCATCTCAGTGTTTTATTTTTCTTGTGTAAACTTAGGATGTTTTTAGAATTGCCAGTGAGCTGTTTTTTTTTCTTCCTGAAAAAAACAACAATTCCAGCCCCACTGAAGTATTTCCTCTAGTAAATATTTCTCATCCTAAACCCTTTTCCTGCTTGTTGTGTTGGTAGCTGTACATTTTGGACAGCTTTTAATGTATGAAATCCACTGGATTTAAAGCAGATTTAGACAAACCCATTCAGTGATGATAAATATTGTCTTGCAGGTGTCAGAATCCAATGGTGAGTTTTTTCTCAAGTCTTCTGAGCTCTTTGAGAGTCCTGTGTACCTGGAGGAGGCAGCAGATGTGCTCTGCATTCTACAAGCAGGTGTGGTACTCTGTGTTTGTAGTCTGTTTATGGAACTCTGTCTTATAGTCTTAAAAATGTACCAGAATAACTTGTGGAGCTGCTGTGGTGGATTTCAGGTTAGCTGAAATTCATTATTTTGAGTGTGTTATTTAAGTGTGCATTGCAAACAAGGTTTTACTTGCTCCACAGTGAAACACTGTGACTTTTCCACCCTCTTTTCACCCAGAGCTTCCATCACTGCTGCCCATAGTGGATGTGGCTGAGGCTCTGTTGCACGTGAAGAACGGGGCCTGGTTCCTGTGCCTGCTAGTGGCCAATGTTCCTGACAGCTTCAATGAGGGTGAGCTACAGCTGCTTCTTGTCCAGTTTTGCTGAAGGTGTGAAAGGATTTCGATCAGTGTGGTTAATTCTGGGCTCACCACGTGTCAGACAGATTTGAACTGAAGACTGTTTGGCTCCTGAAACACTCTTTGAATGCATTTACACCTAGAGGTGCTGCTGGGCTGCTCTCTCAGCATGTTGAGTCCCAGGTTTTGCAGCCTGTTTGGAGGCTCATTGTGTGTGTTCTGTGTGTGTGGGTCACATTACAAAGACTGACTTGGGCTGGGAATGATTGGGACTGAGAACCTGCTCTAGTCTTGCTAACAGTTCTTGTCCCTTACACTGAGGCATGTTAGGAGGTGACAAATTTCTATCAGCACTGCATGTTTGGCATCCCTGAAGTGGCAATAAGATGTCAGTCTCCAGGACTGCCAGGAGCACAGGTTGCATTAAGTAGGGTATGAGGAGTAATTGGGTGGTGCATAAATCTGTAATGACTATAATTTATCTGAGGAGAAAGAGCATTTTCTTGTTCTGCTTCTCGAATATAGTTCATGAGTTCTTGCCTGAACAAGGTTTGCATGGCCCAGCTAATAAATCACAGTGAGCTGAACAGAACAGTTTGGTTTTGTGTGTTTGTGTTTGTCTTAGAGTCACAGAATAGTTTGGGTTGGAAGGGAACTTAAAGACATCTCATTCCACCCTGTGCCATGGGCAGGAACACCTCCCACCAGCCCAGGCTGCTCCAAGCCCCATCCATCCTTGGCTTGAACACTTCCAGGGTTGGGACAACCTTTGGGCAACTTGTGCCTTTTTGTGGTTTTCAGTTGGCAAGGGCAGATTTCTTACAGCTGCTGTTGGGTGTTCAGTCTGCAGGGGTTTGATCAAGAACGGCGAGCGGCAGGACGAGGAGAGCGTCGGAGGCCGTCGCAGGACAGAAGCTCTTAGACACCTGTGCAAGATGAATCCTTCCCAGGCCCTGAGGGTCCGAGGCATGGTGGTGAGTCTGGCAGGAGAACCAGAACGATGAACCTTGTAACAGCTTTGAAACCAACGAAGGTGATTAAACCCAAGCGTTTTATCTAGGTGGAAGAGTGTCATCTGCCAGGTCTTGGCGTGGCTTTGACCTTGGATCACACCAAAACCGAATCTTCAGATGATGGAGTGAGTGACCTGGTGTGCTTTGTTAGTGGTTTGCTGCTTGGAACCAACGCAAAGGTGCGAACTTGGTTTGGGACTTTTATCCGAAATGGTCAACAGGTATGAAAAAACTTTGAATGTTCTGCTTTTCGTAAGATACCCTTGCAACTTGCTGTAGGCTTTATGGGGGTGGAGGCTTGTCTGAATGCACATAAATCATGTCACGTGTCTTGGAGGAACCTTTCCAAGGTAACCTCCTCTTAGGGGACCTATAAATACTGTCCCTGAAGGCAGCAGCTGTTTGGTTGTTCCTCAGAGAGAGGTTTTTATGCATGGAAACCAGGGAGTTGTAAGTTTATAACATTTCCCTGATAAATATGTTCATTCTAGGTCCATCTTGACTTGCTTACAGAGTTGGAAGGGACCCTTGAGGATTATCTAGCCCGACTCCTCAACCTAGTTGACTTAGTTAAAGCTTGTGTTTTGGTGTAAGCAGCTGTTGTGGTATGATCATATGTTGCCTGTTGCCCTGGTAGGCAAAAATGTATGTAAGAAACTCCAAATTTCTCTCCCTTCTTTTTTTTTCCCCCTCGTCTTCACTGTTATGGCAACTCTTACGTACCATGTTGTTTGATGGGATGAATTTTACCTGGTTGTTCTCACCCTTTACCCTCTCACACAGAGAAAAAGAGATAACATCAGCTCAGTGCTTTGGCAGATGAGGAGGCAGCTGCTCCTGGAGCTGATGGGGATCCTCCCCACGGTGCGCAGCACACACATCGTGGAAGAGGCCGACGCGGACACGGAGCCCAACGTGTCTGTGTACTCGGGGCTGAAGGAGGAGCACGTGGTGAAAGCCAGTGCCTTGCTGAGGCTCTACTGCGCCCTGATGGGCATTGCTGGGCTGAAGTAAGGACCTTCTCATGCTCAGGGTTTGTTCAGGCCTGTGGGTTGCAGCAGAGTTTGGGCACTTGTGGCATGAGCTGTCTCCTAACATCACTGTGTCCTCGAGGCAGTGAGCAGGACTCACCAGTTCTGGTACCAGGGGAACCTGTTGCTGCCAAATCACTTCTGCAAACTGTTAAGGGAAATCCAATCCTGCACAGCTGGAGCAGTGTGTAGAAGAGAAAGTCGCTGATAGTTCTATCAACATACATTGTATGAATTTGGAATTTCTGTCCCTTTGCTTTTACTTTTCAGAGAGTGCTAACAGAGCATCTTTACACACTGTTAGTTTGAATTTTTTTGTGCCAATAGGCCAAATCATATCCTGGGGAGGTTTTCTCACTGTTGTTCTCTCTTAACAGAGATTTATTGCAGCTTTACAGAGCTTATTATGGCTTTAAAGCCAACAGGGATGATATCTAGGTGGAAGAGTGTCATCTACCAGGTCTTGGTGTGGCTTTGACCTTGAATCACACCAAAAATCACCAAACTGTTTCTGTCTTTAAGCCCAGTTAGAATTGCCAGCTAATGCTGATATTTATTGATAGCAACTTGATGAAGAGATTTAACAGCAGAGAAGATTTAGTCTTTAACCATATTGGAAATGTCTTCACTGTTAAATTACCAGCTTGGGCTTGGTTCTGTGTCCCATCCAGGCCAACTGATGAAGAGGCTGAGCAGCTCCTGCAGCTGATGACCAGTCGCCCTCCTGCCACTCCTGCCGGTGTCCGCTTCGTGTCCCTGTCCTTCTGCATGCTCCTGGCCTTCTCCACCCTGGTCAGGTACCTCCCAGGAGAGCTTTGTAAACCTCTGCCTGTACTAGCACTGCTGAGGCAGTTCTTTTCCTCTAATTCCTCATATAAATCTCTCTGTGTTGATGGAAGGGATTTGTCTCACACCGTGGTGGGGAAATGGATATTCCACTCTGTTCTCCCTCTTGTTTATAGCAAATCTTTTGGGAGGGGAGCACTGGTGTTAGCTTAGTTTGGAGTGGATTTTGAAGGCTAAAGTAGGCCTCACTCATTCAGGTCTCCACGGCACAAGTTTTTGGCTAAGTTCTTTAGAGACTCCATCCACAGGAGCAGCAGTACAGGTGTGTGGTGGGTGTAGCTTTCCCTGGCTGCATTCAGGCAATTGGACAGAGCTTTGTGCTAAATACCACTGTTAATCAGCTGTTGGATGCTGAAGTGGAAGTGACAGTCACCTGGGGTAAGATCCCTCAAATTCTGGCTTTTCTGACCTGCCCCAGGACGTGGTGGCTGCCCCGACCCTGGTGGTGTTCAATCCAGGCTGGATGAGCCTTGAGCAACCTGATCTTGTGAGGAGCTGTCCCTCCCAGGGCTGGGGGTTGGGACTAGATGATCAGTAAAGTCCATTCCAACCCCTAAATTCTATGATTCTCTGATTAATTGTTAGTAAAACTTCTTTCTGAGGAACAGGATCTTACTGATTTTCTTTGTGCAGCACCCCAGAACAGGAGCAACTGATGGTAATGTGGCTTAGTTGGATGATAAAAGAAGAAGCTTACTTTGAAAGGTGAGAGCAGGCTTGTTTTGCTTTAATGATTCCAGTAATCTCATATTGCTAATGTCCTGTTGGAGATTAACTCTTCCTCTTTGTTATCCTTAGCATCTCAGGTGTGTCAGCTTCCTTTGGGGAGATGCTTCTCCTGGTAGCCATGTACTTCCACAGTAACCAGCTCAGTGCCATCATTGATTTGGTCTGTTCTACCTTGGGAATGAAGGTAAAGCCTGAACTCTTTCTAACATGTGCATTTCTCGGTTAAAATTAGCTTTTTACTGTGTTTTTATACTTTTGTATTTACTCCAGTTTCAATACGAAGAACTTTGGTTTTGCTGAAGGAAATATAACCTGAAAAAATGGATTAATATCTAACGATTCCTCTAGAAGAACACACATACCTCCCAATTCCTGCTCAACCCTTGTGCAGTTTTGCAGGAATTATTTATCCAGGAGGATAAAACTTGCAATTCCAAGTACTTTGTTCTTGCTTGCAGATTGTCATTAAGCCCAGCTCACTCAGCAGGATGAAGACAATCTTCACACAGGAGATTTTCACTGAACAGGTATCTTCAGCCCTTTCTCCTTTAGTTGGACCTACAAGAGCAATCCAGGCCCTGCCAGCACTGAAGAGCTTTGCCTCCTCCTTTTTGTTCTCTGCTTTTTGCACACTTGGCTTTTCTCAGTAATGGGGAAGCAAAGGAGCAGAATTGTCCTTTGTGCCATTAGTTTAGCAGCAAGTCAGTCACAAATGTAGCTCAGGAGCTACAGTTTTACTCATAGTATATTAAACTCCATAAAAATGATCTTGCCCTTCCAAACCACCTAAAGTAAGGAGATGCCAGGAGGGACTGTAGCTGTGTGACTTTGTCACCTCATGCCTTGTGGTAAGGTGGGTATTTGTGGTATTTATCTTGTTACTCATCTCTTTCCTTCAGGTTGTGACAGCCCATGCAGTCCGTGTGCCTGTTACAGGCAACCTCAGTGCCAACATCACAGGCTTCTTACCCATTCACTGCATTTACCAGCTCCTCAAGAGTCGTTCCTTCACCAAGCACAAGGTGTCCATCAAGGTATGACCTTCCTTTCAGTTCTCTGCATGATTCTGACAGGTTTTGCAGGCTGGTTTTTTGGTTGAATTATAGAGCAGAATTCTTGATGACTCTTAAACCCTATTCCTGTGTGATTTGAGGAGGAAGTGTGTGTGAAGTTAGAGTGCCCAATTTTAGCTCTGTAATCCAGAGATCACAATTTAGTGAAGGTAAAAATAGTAAGAAGGTTTTCTCTCTCCCCTGTCTGTGCTTAGTAAAGTTGTGGTCAGAATGATTTCCCAGCCAGGACAAATTTTATCTGTGGGTCTGTACAGAGCAGGGTGCAGGATACACAGTTTATGACCAACTCAGAACTGATATTACACTTTCTATGATCAAAGCCTCAGCTAATTATACTTTTTGTAACTAGTTAAAAGGGTTGTACTCGCAGACAGAAATACTTGCCCTCAGCTTGGCAAGTGCTCGTGTCATGGTATGTTCTCCTCTAGGACTGGATCTATCGACAGCTCTGTGAAACCACCACTCCACTCCATCCTCAGCTGCTCCCTCTGATTGATGTCTACATTAACTCCATCCTCACTCCTGCATCTAAATCCAACCCAGAGGCCACAAATCAGCCTGTCACAGAACAGGAGATACTGAATGTTTTCCAAGGACTCTCTGGGGTAATTGACTCGTTTGGTTCTTTCATGTCCTTCAGTGTGAATGTGTGGTTCAGGATTTTGTCTGTTTGTCTGTTGCTTCACATTTTGTCTTTGCTGCCTGTAAACTGCCTCCTACCACAGTGGTAGTCATGAGTTTTGAAGTGAATCTTGCAAATACGACATGACTTTTGTGTGTGGTTTTGTGCACAGGGAGACAATACTCGACTTACTCAGCGCTTCAGCATCACAACACAGTTGCTCGTCCTCTACTACGTCCTGTCCTATGAGGAGGCACTTCTGGCAAACACCAAGATCCTGGGTAGGTGTGAGTGCACCAGTGGGACACAGAGGAGCTGAAAATTAGATGCAAAAAGAGGAAAAACCTACAGTGCTGTCAGATTCCAGTACAGCATAAAATGTTCTAGTAAACACCACATTGCTGTAGAAATTCAGGAGATGAAGTTTCTGCTGAAGCTCTGTAGTTGAGTCGTCTGTTTGCCAGATTAATAAAGGTCCAAGCTGGCCAAAAAGTTACTAGAAATGGGTGTGCCCATCTAATAAATATAGCAGTGATTAACAAAGACTTAATTACTTCAGATCATTTATTCATGTGGCATCAAACTCGCACACAGATTGGGTTGGCAACTTTATGGTTGATAATACTGAATGATCCTTTTTTCCTCTGAAATTGAGACTTTAAATTTATTGATGGAGTTAAATTCCAGTGAAAACAGAGTGTTTAGATCCAGTGAGTGTATTTACCAGCTCTTTATAGAGTGAAAAACTTCAGCATTCATCAGTGCTACTTTTTTCCTGCTGTTCAAGAAAGCCTGAAATACTATAAAATAGATTACTGTGGCTAAGATAGGGATAAATGCTTCATATTTTCTTTATTGATTCGAGTTGGGGAAATACTGTTTCCAGCTGTAACTCTTAGGTGTGGTCTCTTGTCCTGTTGCCTTGTAGCTGCCATGCAGAAAAAACCCAAATCTTACTCTTCAGCATTAATGGATCAGATTCCAATCAAGTACCTGATCCGGCAGGCACAGGGGCTGCAGCAGGAACTGGGAGGTGAGTCTGTGTGGAGGTGCAGGGAGAAGAAAGGCTGAGTGTGCTTCCAGCTCAGTGTCTGTTACCTCTTTCAGGGTGTGCCTTCCTTTCTCTTCCCTTTGAAATCTGTCAGTAGCAGCTGGGGAGGTTACAGAGATGTTTGAAGAGTAGCAGTGAAGGTGTGAGGAAGGCAGTTCCTTCTAGAGTAGGTCTTACCCCCCCTAGAGTAGGTTTTAGAGTAGGAGTTGCCTCGGTTCCTTCTAGAGTAGGTCTTACCCCCCTAGAGCAGGTTTTAGAGTAGGAGTTGCCTCAGAATGCTTATTCCAGTCTAAGAGTTACTCTGGGGTCCTCCCACCTTTCCAAAAAGTGGCTTTTCCTTTCTGTTGGAGTTAGACTATCAGGTGATGCATGTGCAAAGCTCACTGAGCTCCTTGGCAGTGGTTCAGCTGATGTGGTTGAGATGACTGGCACAGATGTGTTCAGGTGAAAGCTGTAGCTGCTCAGACCTAAGGTGTAAAGTTCCTTGGTGTCCCTCCAGGCCTGCACTCCGCTCTGCTGCGTCTCCTGGCGACCAACTACCCACACCTCTGCATCGTGGACGACTGGATCTGTGAGGAGCAGATCACAGGCACTGATGCCCTGCTGAGGAGGATGCTCCTTACCAACATTGCCAAGAATCACTCTCCCAAACAGCTCCAAGAAGGTAAATGACTTCACTCGAAGTAAATTCTTCGCAATGTAATGGGTTTTGGAAGTGTGTCGCTCATGCTACATGTAGACAACCCATTCTGCTGCCAAGGCAGAAAAAAAATGGCACGAGTCCAGTTTTACCAAGCTCCCACTGTCTTTGTTTTCTAGCCTTTTCCATGCTGCCTGGAAATCACACCCAGCTGATGCAGATCTTGGAGCACCTGACCCTTCTCTCAGCTGGTGAGCTGATCCCCTACGCAGAGGTGCTGACATCCAACATGAGCTGCCTGCTGGACACCGGAGTCCCGCGGGGCATCCTGCAGGCTGTCAACAGGCTCTGGATGGTGCTCAACACTGTCATGCCCAGGAGGTAGGCTCAAAGTACTGCTTGGTTTGTTCTTGCAGACAGGTGTGATGGCACTTTCTGTCTGAAAAACAATGACAGAATGCCTTTGTCTGGGAAATCGCCATGGCTCCCGTGAAAGTTGAGTTCACCCTGTCTTGGTTATCTTCAAGGGCTGCAAATGAAGTCTGGGGTTTCTGCTCCTTGATGGGCCTAGAAAAATAGAGCTAAGTGAGTGTCCAGATGCTTAGGGGACACCTTTTAGCATATGGATTATCTACTTAAAAGTCATCAAAATCCTCTCATTTTAGGCTGTGGGTGATGACTGTCAATGCTCTGCAGCCTTCAGTAAAGATAGTCCGACAGCAGAAATACACCCAGAATGATCTGATGATTGATCCCCTGATTGTACTGAGGTGTGATCAGAGGGTGCATAGGTAAGTGTCTCCTTGAGCTTTTCCTGTTCTGTGCTACTTCACAGTGAATGCTAAATGTGAAGTTGTCTCATAGAAAACTTCTAAAAGCTTCCAGTACCTCAAAACTAGTCACATGAGGTTCTAAGTTCCACCTTTTATGGATTAAGCCTGTTGGTCTGAGCACTGAGTGAGCTGGGCCTGCTGTTCCTGCACTTCATACTGTCCAGCTGAGTGTCTTGACACCCTTACACCCAGTTGTGTTTTGGAAACTTTGGGATTTGTACATCCATTTTGGGTTTGTGTGTGTGAACTGGTGATAAACAGACATTGCAGCATGTTTAAAATGGCTCCTGCCACGTGGTGGAGGTTGGAGCTGTAACATCTTCCACTTCCCCTCTTTTGCCAGCCCTCCTGGGCCTGTAGGTGTTCCACCTTTGTGGGTAACAGTTTCTGCCAGTGGCTGCTTGATGGATATGACAAAGGTACATTTGCTTTGTAGTGCTTGGAAATTGGTTCCTTCAGATATCAGTGGTGCCAGAGGTGGATGTGTAATGCTGCTTCATGGCTCTGATGCAGAAGAATAAAGAATTTAAGTAGTGAAAATGGTCATAATCAATAGCAATGCACCAGCTTTTAAGGGGAATATGAAATAGTGCAAACAATGAGTCAGAAGTTGTAAATTACAACTTTGCTTTTTCATGCTAATGAAGAAAATGGCCCCTGTTAGTCTAAAAAGATGTGGTTAATCATTTTAAATGTCTTTTGGCCCCTAGTTTATTCCTTGGGTATTCTAATCCACATTTTCTGTCAGTAGTGGTTTATTTCCTCCTTTTTTAGTATCCTTTTGTTCATAATAAATGGCTAATAGTCAACTTGATTTGTTCTCCACACTCTTGTTTACATCTCTCTGTCCCCTCTTTAGCAACTGAGCCATGAATCCAGTTTTCATCTGAGCTGCTGCAGCTCTGCTAGACTTTGAGTTTCTGTTGATGACACCTTCAATCCCCAACCTGTAGGTGAAATATTTAAATGCATTTCCCTTCAGCCCGGGATGCAAATTGGAAATTCTACATTTCTGAAAGTGTTAGGGAGATTGATAATGCAGTGTGAGCTGAAAACTATCATCTCAGTGTTACTGAGCAGTTCAGAGCTTGTCTGCCTTGTATTTCCCCATCAGTCAGATAATTGCTTTTCCTTATTTTAGGTACATTGGAGCCTTCTCAGGTGTTCTTTGCTCATCAGAAATGAGTCTCTCCAGCAGTTCCTTGGTTCTGTAGAGTGTGCACATACATGTCTGTGCAGGAGGGAAGCAGGACTGAATGGCAGAAAGGATTGGGAACTTTGACTGTATGAGGGAAAAACCTTTAGTATGACCCAGACTCCACCCAAATGACCCTTTGGGAGTGTTCTTAGTGTGTTCCTGTTATCACTGTGTATTGTTCTACTTACTGACATGTCTTCATCATGTGCTCCTTTATCAGGACTCCTCCTCTGATGGATATAACGTTGCACATGTTGAATGGGTATCTCCTTGCCTCCAAAGCTTACCTCAATGCTCACCTGAAAGAAACAGCAGAGCAGGACATTAGGCCATCCCAAAACAATGCAATGGGTCCAGAGGCTCCAGAAGTGACAAGGGAAGAGTTAAAAAATGCATTGCTTGCTGCTCAGGTAAGGGAGGAGAAATGGATATTAAATGATATGAGGAAAGACAATGACAAAAGAGAAATACAGAAACAGGAAATTAAAACAGGAGACCTTTTAGCTTCTCTTTTCACCCACTCTGGTTACCATGAAAAAGAAAACTGCCTCTGCATTCAGATTGTTAAGTGTTTGCTGCTTTCTAGTCTGAAGCATTGTGTGGTTAACTGCTTGGATAGTGGTTTTGCTGTTAGAACACAAGAGTTCTGCTTACCAGCCCTTTTGCCTTGTTGCTTGTGTTATCCAGAGCCTCTTTCTCTACTTGGATTTGGAACAGTCAAACATAAATAAACATGTGACAGACCTTTGCCTGATCATTGGAACAACGTGATTGCAGAGAAGCAGCCAGAACTATAAAGTGGGAGGCTGAAGAATGGTTCTCTTCCTTAGCTTGACATTATGGAGATGCTTGAGTAATCCTGTTTCACAGACAGGCTCTTCATCCCTCTGTCTGGTAGAATGTCACTTACATAGTTCTTGTGACAATATGATTTTGGAACTAATAGGAACTTGTATATTTAAATTAGTGCAGTCTCCTCTGGATACTGTGACTTAAGTGTTTTGTCTGCTCTGGATGTTTTGAGGGACCATTGGGTATTTATTTTGAAACAGGATGAGATTCCATTGCATTTCCTCTTTTGATCAGTGATTATCTGTTGGATTATAAGCTTTTTTTCTTTGAGTCCTGATTGACATAAAATGTTGAGGTTGTTTTAATGTTCTACAGGTTTTGTGATACCTGAACTGTGTAATTTTCATTCAAAACTACAGCTAGAAACCCTAGTGACCTGACAGTCTTCCCTTTCTGAAACTGGCATTACTTTGTGTTTGATTTATTTGACTTCAGAGGGGTTTTTAATGCATGTTCTCTGCCTTGTTTTCTCCCCAGGACAGTGCTGCTGTGCAGATTCTTCTAGAGATCTGCTTACCCACAGAGGAAGAGAAAGCCCAGAGCAGCAATACTCATGGTTTGCTGAAGGGTGTCCAGAGTCCCACAGGCCCCAAGAGTGCTGAGCTGGAAGAAGAAGACAGTTTGCTGTGTAACCTGCGAGAGGTCCAGTGCCTCATCTGCTGTTTGCTGCATCAGATGTACATTGCTGACCCCAACATAGTCAAACTCGTTCACTTCCAGGTCT